GGTTTTAGTCCTGGTTTTAGACCTGGTTTAGACCTGGTTTAGTCCTGGTTTTAGTCCCGGTTTAGTCCTTGTTTAGACCTGGTTTAGTCCTGGTTTTAGTCCTGGTTTAGTCCTGGTTTTAGTCCTGGTTTTAGTCCTGGTTTAGTCCTGGTTTTAGACCTGGTTTTAGTCCTGGTTTTAGTCCTGGTTTTAGTCCTGGTTTAGTCCTGGTTTAGACCTGGTTTTAGTCCTGGTTTTAGTCCTGGTTTAGTCCTGGTTTAGACCTGGTTTTAAACCTGTTTTAGACCTGGTTTTAGACCTAGTTTTAGACCTGGTTTTAGTCCTGGTTTAGTCCTGGTTTAGTCCTGGTTTAGACCTGGTTTTAGTCCTGGTTTAGTCCTGGTTTTAAACCTGTTTTAGACCTAGTTTTAGACCTGGTTTTAGTCCTGGTTTTAGTCCTGGTTTAGTCCTGGTTTAGTCCAAAATGTGAAAACAGTAAAATCTCTCTGTCTAATCCATTTATTTCAACAAAGTAACTGTAATCCAATTACCACTGACTGAAACAGTAACTGTAACTGTATTCAGTTACTCATCATTTGTACTCTGATTACATAACTCTGATACATGTAATCTGTTACTCCCCGACACTGAAAATAGATTACATAACCGTAAACACAAACTGAAACCTGTTCAATAATCTGAGATTCACACAAATAAATATATAAATATTCACCACAGGAACCAACCCCCCAGAGCCGATCAGAATTAAAATCAATAAAAAAACACTTTCATTTGATTGATTTATTTATCTGATGAGACGGGGACAGCGCACAATTTGTACATGAACCTCAACAGGAGAGATGTTTGTTCCAGGTTGTAGCTCGTGTTCATTTCCACCTGTCGCCCCTGTCGCCCCTGTCGCCCCTGGGCAGGTTCATTGACTAATTGTTTTTAACTGACCTTAAGTATCAACTGTTGTTCCTGGAGACCTGTAGCAGGCTTTGGGTAATCTGTAAATATTACATGTGGTGTATAAATATTAAAGCGCGCAGAATATTTAATTAAATATTTAAAGCGCGCAGAATATTTAATTTAATATTTAAAGCGTGCGGTTTAACGTGTGTGTTTGTTGTGTTCCTCGAGCGTGTTGTGTGAGCAGACCTCAGATCTGTGGCTCAGAGCGCAGCGATGTCCCGGCTTCATCCACACAGCGGTGCTCTGTTACACCGACCTCCTGCGCCTCTTCATCGACGGACGCGCCACTCCACAGACCGGACAGGTGAGCACAGACCAGACAGGTTATGCCCCCTGCAGGTGGCGCTGTTATTACAGGTAAACACTAATCGACTCTTGTGCCTCAGGTGGAACCTTCAGTCTTGGTCCAAAGTAAGAAGCTGCTGCTGAGATGTTTATCACAGATGACAGGTTCAGCCCTGTCGTCCTCCCAGCGACAACAGGTAACACAGCTGGAGTTAAATTAAATATACTCTGCACCTGCCCCTCACCTGCCCCTCTCACCTGTCCTCAGCTGCAGGACCTTTGTGCCGATCTGGACCCTGAAGTCACGGCCGCCCTCCGTTACCATGACAACCTGAGCCTAAGCCCTGAAATGGACTTCCTCTGAACTCAAACAAGACCAAAGACTGAAGTTAAAAACTTTTATTTACAGCACAAATATCTGTTACAAATTAAATATAAATAACTTAATAAAATAAGTCTCAGTTCTGGCTGAAGACGTCAGTGTAAATATTATTCTCTTTAACATTCAGGTAAAAAAATGCATAGTTCAGTGGAGTCAGTAACAAGCTGCGGCTGTTCAACGTTTGTGTTCTGTGTGTCCAGATAAACACGAGGCGTCTGATGCAGTCGTCAGAGAAACTCTGTAAAATTGTGAATAAAATGAATAAAAATATTTGTCCTCAGGGTGTTAGTGTCTCTGTGGGACCAAGCTCCTCTTTACAGACCAAGTCCCCACTGAGTCTTCTGTCCTGAGCCCTGCAGAAAGACGAACCTCTGAGCGACCCAGAGTCATCTGTCCTGCCCCCCCCCCCCCTCGGGGTCATCTGTCCTGCCCCCCCCCCCCTCTCGGGGTCATCTGTCCTGCCCCCCTCCTCCTCCTCTCGGGGTCATCTGTCCTGCCCCCCCCCCCTCTCGGGGTCATCTGTCCTGCCCCCCCCTCCTCTCGGGGTCATCTGTCCTGCCCCCCCTCCTCCTCCTCTCGGGGTCATCTGTCCTGCCCCCCCCCCTCTCTCGGGTCATCTGTCCTGCCCCCCCCCCTCCTCTCGGGGTCATCTGTCCTGCCGGTGAGGGACGACCTCTCCGCTGGGGGTGATGGTGTGCAGGTCGGAGTAGGGGGACGGCTGCTCTCGGGGCTCTGGTTGGGTGAGGGGGTGGACCATGGACATGTGGACATTGAGGTTGTGAGCTTTTTCAAATCGTTTCTCACAGATCACACACGCGAACTCCAGCTCCGCCTCCGCCTTGTGTTTGGTCATGTGATACTTGAGGGAGGCGCGCTGGCGGCACTGGAACCCACAAACCTCACACCTGAAGACACGAGACGCTTGTTAAAATGATTTAATCACAGGTGAAATGCACAAATATACGGCCTGAGCCTCCACTTAAAGCACAGTCACTGAAAACTGCCTCGTCACATCTGAGTAAACAGAAACATTCACCTGTGACTCAGTCGTCTCATGAGGTTTGTGTGTTTGTCATGACACAACAACAGGTTAAAGACTCTAGACACTGTAGTGCACTCACTGTAGCGGCTTGGCCCCTGAGTGTCTCATCTGGTGCACTGACAGGTGCTTCCTCTGTTTGAACGTCTGTCCACACTCGTCACAAATGTAGTTTCTCTCCTCTGTCCAAAAAGAAAATGCAGAAAAATACCAACGTGAAACTTGATTTTTCTAGTTCAAATGCATCAAAGTTTAAAACTGTAAATGACAATAAAATGAGAACTGTGTGTGTGTGTGTCTGTGTGTCTGTGTGTGTCTGTGTGTGTCAGTGTGTGTCAGTGTGTGTGAGTGTGTGCCTTGGACTCACCTGTGTGTATGAGTTTGATGTGTGCGTTGGACTCACCTGTGTGTATGAGTTTGTGTGTGCGTTGGTCTCACCTGTGTGTGCGTTGGTCTCACCTGTGTGTGCGTTGGACTCACCTGTGTGTATGAGCTTGATGTGTGTATGAGTTCATGTGTGCGTTGGTCTCACCTGTGTGTGCGTTGGACTCACCTGTGTGTGCGTTGGACTCACCTGTGTGTATGAGTTTGATGTGTGTATGAGTTGGTGTGTGCGTTGGACTCACCTGTGTGTATGAGTTTGATGTGTGTATGAGTTCATGTGTGCGTTGGTCTCACCTGTGTGTATGAGTTTGATGTGTGTATGAGTTCATGTGTGCGTTGGACTCACCTGTGTGTGCGTTGGTCTCACCTGTGTGTGCGTTGGACTCACCTGTGTGTGCGTTGGACTCACCTGTGTGTGCGTTGGACTCACCTGTGTGTGCGTTGGACTCACCTGTGTGTGCGTTGGACTCACCTGTGTGTGCGTTGGACTCACCTGTGTGTGCGTTGGACTCACCTGTGTGTATGAGCTTGATGTGTGTATGAGTTCATGTGTGTATGAGTTCATGTGTGCGTTGGTCTCACCTGTGTGTGCGTTGGACTCACCTGTGTGTGCGTTGGACTCACCTGTGTGTGCGTTGGACTCACCTGTGTGTGCGTTGGACTCACCTGTGTGTATGAGCTTGATGTGTGTATGAGTTCATGTGTGTATGAGTTCATGTGTGCGTTGGTCTCACCTGTGTGTGCGTTGGACTCACCTGTGTGTGCGTTGGACTCACCTGTGTGTATGAGCTTGATGTGTGTATGAGTTCATGTGTGTATGAGTTCATGTGTGCGTTGGTCTCACCTGTGTGTGCGTTGGACTCACCTGTGTGTGCGTTGGACTCACCTGTGTGTGCGTTGGACTCACCTGTGTGTATGAGTTTGATGTGTGTATGAGTTCATGTGTGCGTTGGTCTCACCTGTGTGTGCGTTGGACTCACCTGTGTGTGCGTTGGACTCACCTGTGTGTGTGCGTTGGACTCACCTGTGTGTGCGTTGGACTCACCTGTGTGTGCGTTGGACTCACCTGTGTGTGCGTTGGACTCACCTGTGTGTATGAGTTTGATGTGTGTATGAGTTCATGTGTGCGTTGGTCTCACCTGTGTCTCACCTGTGTGTGCGTTGTCTCACCTGTGTGCGTTGGACTCACCTGTGTGTGCGTTGGTCTCACCTGTGTGTGCGTTGGACTCACCTGTGTGTGCGTTGGACTCACCTGTGTGTGCGTTGGACTCACCTGTGTGTGCGTTGGACTCACCTGTGTGTATGAGCTTGATGTGTGTATGAGTTCATGTGTGTATGAGTTCATGTGTGCGTTGGTCTCACCTGTGTGTGCGTTGGACTCACCTGTGTGTGCGTTGGACTCACCTGTGTGTATGAGTTTGATGTGTGTATGAGTTCATGTGTGCGTTGGTCTCACCTGTGTGTGCGTTGGACTCACCTGTGTGTGCGTTGGACTCACCTGTGTGTGCGTTGGACTCACCTGTGTGTGCGTTGGACTCACCTGTGTGTATGAGCTTGATGTGCCGCTGCAGGTATCTGTCGATCATAAAGACCTTGTTGCAGCCCGGGTGGGGACAGGGTCGCTCCTTCACCTCCTCGTGATGTTCTCGGATGTGTTTCTGCACAAAAGCACGTTTCGCTCTGAGCCTGAGGTAAAGTTTCAGAGGTTTAGGGTCGATCGGGAGGAGACGTCTCACCTTGAGCCCATCGGCGCCGCGGTACACGGCCGTACAGCCCAGGTACGGACACTTGAACATACTGGGCAGCTCCTCCCTGAGGGAAACGCCAAAGAAGGAACGATCCATTTACACTTTTACTTTATCATCTGTTCTGCTATTTTCAGATTTGAGACCAGTGACTCAACTGTGACCTTTTCATTACTGAAAGAACTGCTCTGTCTGAAGCTCTGTTACTCAAGTTAAACTTTAATCTGAACTTTATTTTTATACAATTTGACCATAAAAAACTGACTCTGAAGTCCAAGAGGTGAGAGGATCTGTGCTGTTCTTCACTCTCACCTTCTGTTGAAACTGAACAAGACCAAGAACGACGGGAAAATGAAAATGTGCTAAAATCATTTCAGATTAAAAACTTTAACAACTTTTTTGTCAGTGTTTGCATTGTGTCTCCATGGTAACTGCTGAACATTCCAGCAATAGAAATACGTGTAAAACACCCCCCGTGTGATGCTAGTGCTCAGTATCTGCTTATGTAACTGTAGAAGAGTCGTGTTTTACCCTTTGATTTTAAACTTGTTCTTCCAGCCGGGTTTGGGCCCTGGTTTGTTCCTCACAGGCGTCTCTTCTGTCGAATCGTGGCTCTGCTTCTTCTTTCTCGACGCTCTGTGAGTTTACAGAGAAACTGAAGCTTCTTCTCAAACCTTCAGCAGTTTTTTTAATGTGGGAAACACATTTGTCCGTGTACCTCTTGTTGGAGTAAGGCTTGAAGAGCTCGTCGTCTGGTCCCAGTGCGCTCTCCTCAGCCTCGCCTCCCGTCTCCGTCCTGGACAGTCACACGTGTGTTTAGCTTCAGTGAACAGCAGGGGGCGTTAGGGAGGCAGATGTTTCGACTCACCTGTCACACAGCTCTTCTTCGTCTGCCTCTTCAGACTGAGATAACGAAAAGGGCGTGGCCTCCTCCGGTTCTGACAGATCTGCGTCACCTGAAAGGAAACGAGACGAGTCAAATCATCGTTTTCATTTTACAGATATGAAACTTTTCTTCCTTTTGTTCACTGAGATTTTGTTAATACATTTTTAACCCAATAACCAAAACTGTGACTGTCCCGGGGAAACAGGGACGTGTGTCCCCCTGGGTCCAAACACAGACGCTCAGTTTTATTACGTGTCTCACAAATGAGGAAAACATCTCTTCAAAATTCTTGTAACATTCAGAACAAATGATATAACTTCTCTGTGCTTCGATTGTTGTTTCTGTAAAAATCTGCTGTTTCAGTCCTTTATGTTGCTGTTATTTTTGTCCTTTTTTATATTTAAGATTCCGTGTTAGTTTTTTTTAATTCCCTCTGAAATCAGGGAGACGGGACACGGCTCCAGATCCACTTGTTTTTGTCTTTTCAGAGCGCGTGGTTCTGCACAGGTGAGTGAATGATCACTTCTGGATCAAAGTTGTGTGTTTATGTCTTAAGGCGCCACACACTAAAGGATTTTTCAGTCTTAAATGATTTTTAAAACGCACACCACAGACACGAGGAGAATATGGTGAGATTTTTTTGTGTGTGTGTGTTTCCTGTCTCCAGTGGCTCTGAGACTCTTGTGTGTCAAAGTTCAGACTCTGCTCTTCGAGTTTCGCTCCAAGTCCAAACTGTGTGATTATTTGTGAAATGTGGAGCAAAACTTCAGATCCAGGATTTATTAACCATAAAAGTTTAGAGATGAAATGTTGGGGAAGTGGAGTCACTGTGGAGAATCTTTAGCTTCGGCTTCAGGTTCAGGTTCAGGTTCAGGTTCAGGTGCAGGTGCAGGTGCAGGTGCAGGTGGACTCATGCTCTGTGTGGATGTTACAGACTCACGAGACCAAACAAACTCACCTTTTTACTTTAAACTACGACTCAAAAAACTGGAGTCACAGACGTTTTGTGTCTGGACTCATTATTTGTGGTGGAGAAATTCTGTGGAGAATGTGGATGAGACGCTGCACTTTACATTTAACACTTTACACACGAGAAAAATAAAGTCTCATCATTATTTTCACTGTTTCTGAGTTTGTGTTTTGTGTTTCTGTGTTTGTCTCTTCTGACACTCGGGTTTATTGGTTGTTTCTGTGATGTTGCTGATGTTTGGTGGTTACGATCTGACACACACAGACACACACACACACACAGAAACAGAAACACACACACACACAAATAGAAACACACACACACACGAGGAACAAACGCACAGGAACGCAGAGGCTTCATAATCACGTACAAAGACACAAAGTCGGGTCCCTGAACTTGTGGAGAAGCAAATCGCAGCATAAACTGTGTAAATTCTCCTGTAGTGTGCGGCGGCTGAAGTCTGAATAATAAAATGTTTAGAGTCTGTATATTTAAATAAGAAGATGACGGATGAAAAGACGAGAAGTCGTGGTTATTACTGTGGTTAATTAAATTCCCGGACACGTTCTAACCTTGGTTGTTGCTGCCGTGGTCGGGCTCGGAGATCTCCACGTGCTCCTCCGGGTTCAGCCGACTCTCCTCCGCGGGCTCCTCGGTTTCGGGCTCCGGTTCGGGGCAGGAGAAGAACGTGTCCATCTCATAACTGTGTCCGTCTCCACAGCCCCACAGAGCCCGGACCGAGCCCCTGCACTGACTCTCCAGCACCTCCATCAGGGCGGGGCAGGAACTGCAGGCGCCGGCGTGATGATGAGCCCAGGACACCAGACTGTGGAGGCACTGGTGATCTGAGGTGAAACACCAGGAAACTGAAACAGAAGAAACACCAGGAAACTGAAACAGAAGAAACACCAGGAAACTGAAACACAAGAAACATCAGGAAACTGAAACACAGTCACAACACACCATTACATCTGTGTGTGTGTGTTTGTGTGTCTGTGTGTGTATCTGTGTGTGTGTGTGTGTGTGTGTGTGTGTGTGTGTGTCTGTGTGTGTATCTGTGTGTGTGTGTGTCTGTGTGTATCTGTGTGTGTGACGAGGAAACGTTAGACCAGAGCAGATAAAAGTTTAATCACACTTTCCCTTTAACCCATTGACGCCGGATGCAGCGCTGAGTCTCCTGTCGGTGTCTGGATTGTCTGGTGATCAGTGTAACTGGTAAAGGCGGAGCCACATCTGGAAGCCTGGGGGGCGTGTCCTCCTCTCGCTTCATTCACTCCCATAGAGACGCAAAACTGCCAGAGCTTCTACTGTCGTGTTAAACCTTCTTTATCGTGGCGTATTATTTCCCCATTGAAAAATAATCCAAATGTCCCGAACATGTTTCCATCAAGACCTGGTTTGAAGTAACAAACGTTGCTCTTTACTGCAGCACATGAACGCAGCTCAAACACCTGATCTGTTCACTGTTCCAGACGCTCCTATAACAACAGGTGACATGTCACTGTGTCATGTAACAAATAAACATGGTCAAACACAAATGTATCCGTGTTTTCACTGTCATTGTCACTGTCAGCATTTTTGTGTCTTTGACCATGTTTATTTGTTACGACACAGTGACATGGCTCCTGTTATAGGAGCGTCTGGAACAGTGAACAGATCAGGTGTTTGAGCTGCGTTCATGTGCTGCAGTAAAGAGCAACGTTTGTTACTTCAAACCAGGTCTTGATGGAAACATGTTCAGGACATTTGGATTATTTTTCAATGGGGAAATAATACGCCACGATAAAGAAGGTTTAACACGACAGTAGAAGCTCTGGCAGTTTTGCGTCTCTATGGGAGTGAATGAAGCGAGAGGAGGACACGCCCCCTGTGCTTCCAGATGTGGCTCCGCCTTTACCAGTTACACTGATCACCAGACAATCCAGACACCGACAGGAGACTCAGCGCTGCATCCGGCGTCAATGGGTTAAGAGCAGAAACCTTGACTCACTTTCACGCTGTTCAAGAGGCTCCACAGTTTTTGTTTTCTTTCTGAAAAAGGATAAAAATATAAATATTCACAGTTGCAGTTTGGTGTTTTGTGTTTGGTGTTTGGGTTTGAGTTCCACAGGCTCTGTACCTGCGCCGCTCTGCGCTCATGGGCGGGAGGTTGACCCTCTGGAGGAACCTGAGGAGGACGCTGTAGCACTTGTAGAACTTGGAGTGACACGTTTTGCAGATGAACTTCGAGAGTCGCGGGTCCTGGTTCAGTTTGACTCCGACCAAACGCTGGAAGTCTGAGTGAAAGAGCACGGACCTCTGCTCCTCGCCGTCCACGTGGTCCCGGGACGAGCTGCTGAAGGCGTGACGCAAACTCCGAGACGAGAACTTCCCATGGCACAGGCGGCACAGGGCGGAGGGCGTCCGGCCTGACGGGCGACACCGCACGACTATTACACTTAAAAACTCTTACGACAAAGGACCAAATAATAAAGAAAATCTGTCCCGTCCATTTTAACAGCAAAATTCTCACAGTAGAAAAGTCAATGTTTTGTTTTGTTCGACCTGTCGCCTAAAAATACACACAAAGCTTTGGTTCACACAGAGTTTTAGCAGAATTTGAGGGAAAACCTGCTCTACATATCGGCCTAAAAATATCGGTCGAGTTTATCGTCCATTGGTTTTGGATTAGTTTGGTTCTAAACATAATCAGTTTGATCTCTAAAGTCTGAAGTCAAAACAGGAGCTTCATATCGTCTCTTTATTCAAAACCTCTGTGACAGAACAGAATAAAACAATAAAAATAAAATTCAAACAATAAAAATTAATAATAATAATAATAATAATAATAATCCTAACCTCTCCTGTTGTAAATAAACAGACGGTGACAGGTGTGTGTGTTCCTCACCGGGGGGGGTCCCTGCAGGGGGCGCTGCGTCGCTCTGGTCCTCCTGGTCTGGACTCTGGTTCCTGTAGTCGGGTCTGGAGGCGTCACGTGACCTCCTCCTCTGTCTGCTCCTCTTCTTCATCACAAACTGAACCACAAACAAAAACATCAGGCTCAGAAAATCTGTCGCTCCTAAAATCACCAGAGTCAGAGCAGGACTAAACCAGGACTAAACCAGGACTAAACCAGGACTAAACCAGGACTAAACCAGGACTAAACCAGGACTGACTAAACCAGGACTAAACCAGGACTAAACCAGGACTAAACCGACTAAACCTAAACCAGGACTAAACCAGGACTAAACCAGGACTAAACCAGGACTAAAACTAAACCAGGACTAAACCAGGACTAAACCAGGACTAAACCAGGACTAAACCAGGACTAAACCAGGACTAAACCAGGACTAACCAGGACTAAACCAGGACTAAACCAGGACTAAACCAGGACTAAACCAGGACTAAACCAGGACTAAACCAGGACTAAACCAGGTGTAAACCAGGACTAAACCAGGACTAAACCAGGACTAAACCAGGTGACTAAACCAGGTGTAAACCAGGACTAAACCAGGACTAAACCAGGACTAAACCAGGACTAAAACCAGTGTAAACCAGGACTAAACCAGGACTAAACCAGGTCTAACCAAGAACTAAACCAGGACTAAACCAGGACTAAACCAGGACTAAACCAGGACTAAACCAGGACTAAACCAGGACTAAACCAGGACTAAACCAGGTGTAAACCAGGACTAAACCAGGACTAAAACCAGGACTAAACCAGGACTAAACCAGGTTGTAAACCAGGACTAAACCAGGACTAAACCAGGACTAAACCAGGTGTAAACCAGGACTAAACCAGGACTAAACCAGGACTAAACCAGGACTAAACCAGGACTAAACCAGGACTAAACCAGGACTAAACCAGGTCTAACCAAGAACTAAACCAGGACTAGACCAGGTCTAAACCAGGACTAAACCAGGACTAAACCAGGACTAAACCAGGTCTAAACCAGGACTAAACCAGGACTAAACCGGGTCTAAACCGGGTCTAAACCGGGACTAAACCGGGTCTAAACCGGGTCTAAACCGGGACTAAACTGGGACTAAACCGGGACTAAACCGGGACTAAATCAGGTCTAAACCAGGACTAAACCAGGTCTAAACCAGGTGTAAACCAGGACTAAACCAGGACTAAACCAGGTCTAAACCAGGTCTAAACCAGGTCTAAACCAGGTCTAAACCAGGACTAAACCAGGACTAAACCAGGTCTAAACCAGGTCTAAACCAGGACTAAACCAAGTCTAACCAAGAACTAAACCAGGACTAAACCAGGACTAGACCAGGTCTAAACCAGGACTAAACCAGGACTAAACCAGGTCTAAACCAGGACTAAACCAGGACTAAACCAGGACTAAACCGGGTCTAAACCGGGTCTAAACCGGGACTAAACCGGGACTAAACCGGGTCTAAACCGGGTCTAAACCGGGACTAAACCGGGACTAAACCGGGACTAAACCAGGACTAAACCAGGACTAAACCGGGACTAAACCGGGACTAAACCAGGACTAAACCGGGACTAAATCAGGTCTAAACCAGGACTAAACCAGGTCTAAACCAGGTCTAAACCAGGTCTAAACCAGGACTAAACCAGGGCTAAACTAGGTCTAAACCAGGACTAAACCAGGTCTAAACCGGGACTAAACCAGGACTAAACCAGGTCTAAACCGGGTCTAAACCAGGTCTAAACCGGGACTAAACCAGGACTAAACCAGGACTAAACCAGGTGACTAAACCAGGACTAAACCAGGACTAAACCAGGACTAAACCAGGACTAAACCAGGACTAAACCAGGACTAAACCAGGACTAAACCAGGACTAAACCAGGACTAAACCAGGTGTAAACCAGGACTAAACCAGGACTAAACCAGGACTAAACCAGGTCTAACCAAGAACTAAACCAGGACTAGACCAGGTCTAAACCAGGACTAAACCAGGACTAAACCAGGACTAAACCAGGACTAAACCAGGTCTAAACCGGGTCTAAACCGGGACTAAACTGGGACTAAACCGGGACTAAACCGGGACTAAACCAGGTCTAAACCAGGACTAAACCAGGACTAAACCAGGACTAAACCAGGTCTAAACCAGGTCTAAACCAGGACTAAACCAGGACTAAACCAGGTCTAAACCAGGTCTAAACCAGGTCTAAACCAGGACTAAACCAGGACTAAACCAGGTCTAAACCAGGTCTAAACCAGGACTAAACCAGGACTAAACCAAGTCTAACCAAGAACTAAACCAGGACTAAACCAGGACTAGACCAGGTCTAAACCAGGACTAAACCAGGACTAAACCAGGACTAAACCAGGACTAAACCAGGACTAAACCGGACTAAAGTCTAAACCGGGTCTAAACCGGGTCTAAACCGACTAAACCGGGACTAAACCGGACTAAACCGGGTCTAAACCAGGACTAAACCAGGAACTAAACCAGGACTAAACCAGGACTAAACCAGGACTAAACCAGGACTAAACCAGGACTAAACCAGGTCTAAACCAGGACTAAACCAGGACTAAACCAGGACTAAACCGGGTCTAAACCGGGTCTAAACCGGGTCTAAACCGGGACTAAACCGGGACTAAACCGGGACTAAACCGGGACTAAACCGGGACTAAACCAGGACTAAACCAGGACTAAACCAGGACTAAACCGGGACTAAACCGGGACTAAATCAGGTCTAAACCAGGACTAAACCAGGTCTAAACCAGGTCTAAACCAGGTCTAAACCAGGACTAAACCAGGACTAAACTAGGTCTAAACCAGGACTAAACCAGGTCTAAACCGGGACTAAACCAGGACTAAACCAGGTCTAAACCGGGTCTAAACCAGGTCTAAACCGGGTCTAAACCAGGACTAAACCAGGACTAGACCAGGACTAAACCAGGTCTAAACCAGGACTAAACCAGGTCTAAACCGGGTTTGGTTTGTTATAAACACAGTGTGAAAAGAACAGAACTGGGCCGGTCTGGACTCACGTGGGTCTTTCTCAGACCTGAGACACTTTTGTCTCTGACTTCTGGATTTTGGCAAAACAAAAACAATTTATGCTCTAGTTTACTGTACGAAGAGACCAGAACCCAGACTGGTTTAGACCTGGGCTGGTCCTGGTTTAGTCCTGGTTTAGTCCTGGATATTTCTATCAGTGTCTAGACACAAAAATTCACTGTACAACAACAAACATCTGTATTTTAACTTCTCCACATCAGGACTAAACCAGGTCTACAACAGGACTAAACCAGGACTAAACCAGGTCTACAACAGGACTAAACCAGGACTAAACCACTACAACAGGACTAAACCAGGACTAAACCAGGTCTACAACAGGACTAAACCAGGACTAAACCAGGTCTACAACAGGACTAAACCAGGACTAAACCAGGACTAAACCAGGTCTAAACCAGGTCTACAACAGGACTAAACCAGGACTGAACCAGGACTGAACCAGGACTAAACCAGGTCTCTGTTTGTGTCTGAGCCGCTGGAGTGAATCGGCTCGTGAATCGGTTCTTACCCTGGGCTCGTGCAGGTCTCGTGCGGGACAGTCCGGAGCCGTGCACGTGCGGGGTCCGTGCACGTGCGTGGGGTCCGTGTGCACGCGCGTGGATGTGCGTGATCGTGAGTCTCGGGGTCGCGCGCTCTTACTCCAGCTGCGGGACACGAGCCCCGCACATCCTGAAACCCGGAAGTGCAAGCGGAAGTCACAGGAACGTTTTATCAACACAGCGACACCTGTTGGTGAGTGTCCGCCACGCATCGAGCTAAAACAATAAATAATATAAACTCTATATAAACTAATAAAAACTGAAATAAATAATATAAACTTTATATAAACTATAATAAAAACTTAAATAAATAATATAAACTCTATATAAACTCTAATAAAAACTTAAATCAATAATAAAAACTGAAATAAATAATAAAAACTTATATCAATACTAAAAACTTATATCAATACTAAAAACTTTAATCAATAATAAAAACTTAAATAAATAATAAAAACTTAAATCAATAATAAAAACTTAAATAAATAATAAACCATCTATAACAATAAAAATATAAAAATATAAACATTATAGTAAATAAAATAAAATAAACACGTGTTGAGTGACGTCACGCTTTTGCTGCCGCTGACGTCGCGTCGATGAAACTTTTTTAACAGTTTTTACTTTTTTATTGGAGAAGTGCAGATGTTTATGGAACTACGGCAAGTCTAAATGAACAAAACACATGGACATAACCTGCCTCCAATAACCTGCGCTGTAGCGCCACCTCGTGACGTAACACATGTAAACAAAATGTACAACTGATGATCCACAGCTGAGGGCCTCATTAACATATTTGAACAAAATCTATTTAAAAATAAATAAATAAGAAATACACTCAGGTCACCCCGTCACACAGGTCACTCACTCAGGTCACTCAGGTCACTCCGTCCCCCAGGTCACTCAGGTCGCTCACTCAGGTCACTCAGTTTGGTCACTCAGGTCAGTCAGGTCACTTAGTCTGGTCACTCACTCAGGTCAGTCAAGTCACTCGGGTCGCTCAGGTCGCTCTGACTGCAGTGTTCAGCTCCACATGACTCTCATGAGTTTCATAGAAACAGGAATTTATTTACAGATAAAATGTTGAAGTAAAAACCTCAGACTCGTGTGGAGCGAGGAACAAAACTTTAGGGGTTAATGTGTCCGTTTATATAAAGAGTCTGGAGTTTAATGCAACACACAAAACCATCACATTTAAATAAGTGTATGAGTCCGACAGGTTCCACATTATAACTTTATTGATGCATTTGTGATATTAAAGCACAGGAATTAATGGTCAAAAAATTAAAATGACATAAAAACACTTAATGACGGAGGGTTCTTTTTACACGGGGGAAAGACGCCGACACTGAACACACAAACAAACACAACTACAACAACACAACAGGCTACACAACATTAGTGATTACATGAACCAGAGATGATACACAAAGTTTATACAGTGTAAGAAAGTGCTCCAGTCGTTTAATTAAAAGAGCTGGTGTCATAAATAAGGCATTGGTCTGTACGTACAATATTACAGAAGCATATGGCTGTTTCCCCGTGTGTTTGTTGATTTAAGACACAGTGTCGAAGTACAGAAGATAAAAGTACGATTAATTTACATGATCTGAGCCTTCGTCTCACAATAAAACTCCTATAAAACACAAAACAGACTCTTGTGAGCTTCAGGTCGTGTTCTAACGCTGTTACCTCCTCAAAAACAGACCTGGAGTCATGTTTGTTTGAGTGACTCTTTATTATGAGTCTGTTTACATCTCCAAAGCTCCAAACGCTCTGTTCCACCTTGTGATGTCATGAAGTGGTAGTTTTCAGGTTCACAGCTCCTTTTGCCTCCCAAAAATCCAGAAATCTAAGGCTGAAATGAAAATGTGACTTAAACGTGTGAATGAAACCAAAGCACAACTCCAGGTCTGTGTGACGAGGAAACGACACGAGAACAGATCAGAGGCACGTCCAGTTCGTTACAGTTTCAACTCCAGTGTGATTCTGTGTGCGCTTCCAGTCACGTCCAGAGTCCAGTGTGAAACGTTTCCAGTGTTAAACATTTCCAGTGTGAAACGTTTCCAGTGTTAAACGTTTCCAGTGTTAAACGTTTCCAGTGTGACAGACCCTGTGTGACAGAGCCAGTGTGACAGACCCAGTGTGACAGTCCCAGTGTGACAGTCCCAGTGTGACAGAGCCAGTGTCCTGTGCTCACATAAACATCTTTCCATGGTTGGAGTTTACAGAGCAGATCTTTGTGTTTTTCTGGGAGAACTTCAGTTTTGAGCAGTGACGAGGAGCTTCAGAAATACTGGTTTGATTAAGAAACACGTTTACTGTCAGTGATTATGTTAAAGATGTTGGGACATTATTACTTGGACATTTGTGTTCATGAGTTTTTAAACGTTTCAAATCTCGGCAGAAGACGAACACTTTAAAACAATCAGTCAATTATTGTTTATCTTCTTTTGGCAACTGGTCCTGGGTGAGCAGAGGAGACTGTAAGACACACACACACACACACACACACACAGACACACACTCTGACACACAGACACACACACAGACACACACACACACACTCTAACAGACACACACAGACACACACACAGACACACACAGACACACACACACACAGACACACACATACACACACAGACACACACACAGACACACACACAACACACACACACAGACACACACACACACACAGACACAACACACACACACACACACACACACACACACACACACACACACAGACAGACAGTGGTCAGTTTGTCCAGCACAAAGTTCCTCTATGAGTTTCTTTTACAGTGTTCATGACTGAGGTTTGCAGTGTCCAGTCTGACCGCCCCGTTTCAGCCTCTGCCTCTGTTTCAGCTTCAGTTTCAGCTTTTGTTTCAGCTTCAGTTTCAGCCTCTGATATCAAAAGTCTCGTCATATTTTCATGGATGTCGTACTACTACATGTCCCATGATCCTTTGCTCTGTTAAACTGCAGCCAACATGAAGATTGGATTATTGTTAATTTACACTTTTTAGTCTTAATTTTCTGAAATCATGATTGAAAAAGTTTTGTCTTGGCATTTTAACAGAAGAAAACGCATTTAAACAATAACGACGAGCCTCCAGTATTTCAAATAAATATCACACATGGGACTTATTCATGAGCTTCAGCGACTTGTTTATAGGCGCCATTTTGAGGACTTTTAACTGCTGTGGTAACAAATCTGAAGCCCATGGACCCGATGACGCCGCACAGTGAGATTTGTGACCCTACAGTGCTGAGAATACGCAAACTATAAAATAATAATAATGCTCTAATACAGATCCAGGGCCGCGGGCGTCAGATGTGATTAAATGTTCATGTACAGAGATAAAAACATGTGAGTGATTCCTGTTTGTAGACGAACGCCGTCGCCCCGGCAACAAACGAGTCGTCAGGCAGAGCTGCTCCGGAGGCGGAAGAAGAAATCTGTGGAGGCGGCGTCTCCATCAGAAGAACAGAGAACTTCACCCTGTCCCACAGAAGAGCAAACGTGAGGAGTCATGGTTAAAATCATCTTTTATCATAAAGAGTCGCCATGGAGATGTTACTGCTTTATCTGAAATGTTCCACATTCTATTTTTATTAACATGTTCCAGTTTGATAAAAACAGATTCTTCTCACAGACCTTAGCTTCCCTTTATTTTATTTTTGATTTATTTTGGTCTAACTCTGGGCACAGCTGGAAACCTCCCCTCAGAAAGAACGCATGAATGAAGACGGGTTTAATGCCACACTGTGGAACATATCTGCAGTAACATCTGAAGCAGGCACCGAACCCCACTGCAGAAAAGGATATTTCCACTCACAGTGGCAGAGGCTCGGAGGTGGAGGGTGGCACCTGAGTGTGTCAGGGGCACAGGCAGCAGGTGGACGTCGCTCTGACGAAAAACACAGAAGAAACAGATTTAATGTCAAACTTCTAAACTCCTGAACATCAGAGTTTGTAAAAACACACAAACTCCTCCCCCTTCTGCAAATGTGTAGATACACACAATATAACACACAACACACACAAATACACACACACACACAAATAACACACAACACACACAAATACACACACATAACACACAAATACACACAAATACACACACAAATAACACACCACAAAACACACAACACACAAATAACACACAACACACACAAATAACACACAACACACACAAATAACACACAACACACACAATAAACACACAACACACAACGAATAACACACAACACACACAAATAACACACAACACACACAAATAACACACAACACACACAACACACACAACGAATAACACACAACACACACACAACACACACAAATAACACACAACACACACACAAATAACACACAACACACACAACACACACAACAAATAACACACAACACAACACACACAACACACAAAATAACACACAACACACACAAATAACACACAACAAATAACACACAACACAAACACAAACAAACACACAACACACACAAATAACACACAACACACAACAAATAACACACAACACACACAAATAACACACAACAAATAACACACAACACACACAAATAACACACAACACACACACAAATAACACACAACACACAACGAATAACACACAACACACACAAATAACACACAACACACAACGAATAACACACAACACACACACAACACACACAAATGGCACGGTGGCTGAGTGGCTAGCACTCATGCCTCACAGCAAGAAGGTTCTGGGTTCGATCCCCGGGTCGCCCAGGCCTTTCTGTGTGGAGTTTGCATGTTTCTCCCCGTGTCTGGATGGGTTTCCTCCGGGTGCTCCGGTTTCCCCCATCAACCCAAAAAAAACATGCTACATAGGTCTCCATAAAACAGTTGATAGTCATGGTCAGTTAAAAAAAATACAATCAATTCAATCATTGTGTCCTTAGGCAAGACACTTCACCCACATTGCCTAGTATGAAAGTGGTGTGTGTGTGAGTGCTGGTGGTGGTCGGAGGGACCGATGGCGCCGAGTGGCATGGCAGCCGCGCCTCTGTCAGTGAGCCCCAGGGCAGCTGTGGCTACAATAGTAGCTTACCATCATCAGGGTTTAGAGTGAATGAATAATGCTGCATGAATGAATGCTGAATGAATAGTGCTGAATAAATCTTTGGGGACAGAAAATGTCTGTGAAAGCGCTATATAAATAAAGACTTACTTACTTACACACAACACACACAAATAACACACAACACACACAACACACACCGAATAACATACAACACACACAAATAACACACAACACACACAAATAACACACACACACAACAAATCACACACAACACACAAATAACACACAACGAATAACACACAACACACAACAAATAACACACAACGAATAACACAACACACACACAACACACACAAATAAACACACAACAAATACACACACAACACACACACAACAAATCAACACACACAAACACACACAAACACACACAAATAACACACACAAATAACAACACACAACAAATAACACACAACAAATAACACACAACACACAACGAATAACACACACACAACAAATAACACACAACACACACAAATAACACACAACACACACAATAACACACAACACACACAACAAATAACACACAACAAATAACACAACACACAACACAACACAACAACACACAAATAACACAACACACAACAAATAACACACAAACAACACAACACACACAAATACACACAAATAACACAATAACACACACAAATAACACAAACACACACAAATAACACAACACACAACACAACACACACACAAACAACACAACACACACATGACACACAACACATACAAATAACACAACACACACAAATAACACAACACACACAAAACAACACAACACACACAAATAACACACAACACACACAAATAACACAACACTTGTACCTTTGTCCTTGTGAGTTGAGCTCTGTCCTCAGACTCAGAACGTTCTGTGTCCTGTGCACACGGACGCAGCCACACACTGCTCACAAACCTGCAACACACACATGAACACATGAACACACACATGTGTGTATATCTGTAAACAGTATACATGTGTATATATATATGTATATACTGTAAATACTGTAAATACTGTAAATACTGTATATTTGTGTATATGTATATTTGTGACATAAATATTACAAAAGACAAACTCACCTCAGATTTAATGTGATTTTGGAAACGTGTGAGTTTCTGCTCTCGCTCAGTGACACTGTGAATCTGAAACACACAGTTGAATAAATAAATGATGGAACAAATCATCAGCTTCAGATAAAGACACTTAAAACACACTTAAAGAAGACTGTATATAAAAATAATGCATATATAATAATGTATATAATAATAATGCATATATATATATATATATATATATATATATATATATATATATATATGTGTGTGTGTGTGTGTGTGTGTGTGTGTGTGTGTGTGTGTGTGTGTGTGTGTGTGTGTGTGTGTGTGTGTGTGTGTGTATATATGTAGTTAATACGATTAACTGAGATTCAGGAGCAGGACCACGCCTCAGCCGCCCTCTCCTCTCACCGGCGAACCACAACTCACCTCGACCGCGCCTCTAATTTCCCAGAAGCCTGTATGTAGCAGCCTTTCCCATCATCCCAGTTTTGTCTCGGCGAACTCGACCCCACCCTCCCATCCCCTATTTTGTCTTTCAGTCATAAGACCCTACAAGGGGGTCCCGTTCCGGCTGGGCCAATTGTAGATTGAGACGGAGCCCCCACCCATAGTCTCAACCCAGCCATCTTTGCCTCACTTTGTACATTATCAATAAAACTACTTTGCACTATGTTGTCGTTGGCGTGGTCCTAGCTAGTGAAATATATATATATATATATATATATGTGATATATATATATATATATATATATATATGCTATAATATATATATATATATGTGTGTATATATATAATATAGTATATATATATATATATATATATATATATATTATATATATATATATATATATATATTATATATATATAGAGGCAGGACATGTGGTCAGTGACCAAATCTTTACCCACACCACTTCTGCGACTTACAATTAAAATTAATCAAATATTCTGTTGTTCTCTCTATTTAACCAGAACAAAAAAACATCTTTAGACTTCAAACTCACCTGCAGCTGTTCACGCTCACACACTCAGACTCACCTGCAGCTGTTCACGCTCACACACTCAGACTCACCTGCAGCTGTTCACGCTCACACACTCAGACTCACTGCAGCTGTTTCACGCTCACACACTCAGACTCACTGCAGCTGTTCACGCTCACACACTCAGACTCACCTGCAGCTGTTCACGCTCACACACTCAGACTCACCTGCAGCTGTTCACACTCACACACTCGTGCACTGGGACTCACCTGCAGCTGTTCACGCTCACACACTCAGACTCACCTGCAGCTGTTCACGCTCACACACTCAGACTCACCTGCAGCTGTTCACGCTCACACACTCAGACTCACCTGCAGCTGTTCACGCTCACACACTCAGACTCACCTGCAGCTGTTCACGCTCACACACTCGTGCACTGGGACGGTCTGGTTTGTCTCTGGGATGTGCACGGAGATCAGTGTGGGCTTTAATCCTGAAGAGCAGAGTAACAGATTCAGGTTACACTCTACAGTCTGGTCTGGGCGCAGTACAGCAGACTCACCAGCGGGGGGCACACTGCGCTGTCTCCTGCTGCTGCCCGGCTGCTGGCCCTGGGGCAGGTGGTTGGCTCCTGCCCCCTGCTGGTCGGGGCTCTTCTTGGACTTGGGGAAGTAAAATGGAGGCGAAGTGTGACTCAGGCGGTTTCTGTGTCCGTCTTTATCGATGGGTCTGGACTTTGCCTTTTTCATGATGGAGCTTTGAGTGGGCAGCAGGACGTCCACTTCTGTTCAAAAGGCAATAAAGTCATTCATTAACCATGACACAAAAGGAAAATACTACATCTTCTTTCTGAGTTAAATTTTGTCGAATAAATAAGATGAAAACGTACAAGCTACAAAATCCACTGTCCCCACAAAAAAGAATGTCATGGAGAATATTCTACAGCCTCATCTCTTTTTACAATTTTATGTTAGTTTTAGATTATTTCAGTTCAAGAATGTGCGTCTCTTCAGAAAGACACTGAAAATACACTGTTCTTTAACACCATAAATAAGTACACGAATAAAAATAACAATTCTACAAGTTACAGTAACTGCTAAATTGATTTCTTCTTTGATTTCTCAGGCCTGTTGTGAGTTGTGTTAGTGTTAGTTGTGTTAGTTGGGTTAGTTGTGTTAGTTGTGTTAGTTGTTAGTTGTGTTAGTTGTGTTAGTTGTGTTAGTTGTGTTAGTTGTGAGTGTTAGTTGTTAGTTGTGTTAGTTGGGTTAGTTGGGTTAGTTGGGTTAGTTGTGATAGTGGTGAAAGTGGTGAAAGTGGCCAGAGCAAAAGGAGAGATTCAATTTGCTCCTCCAAACTCGTCCAAGCTGCGAAATGTATTCGACCAAATAAACTTTTGTCCAGTTGACAAATTGAATTTCTCCTTTTGCCATCGATTCTACCTGAACCTGAACCTGAACCTGAACGACTGAGGGATTTTACGCTCTGAAGAGGAAGTGAAAAAAAAAATAGTGGCAATAATGGTGATGATGGTGATGGTGGTGATGATGGTGATGATGGATGATGGTGATGGTGGATGATGGTGATGATGGTGATGATGGTGATAGCAGTGGTAGTTTACCTGTGGTAGATTGGTTGGTGCTCGGTATTATGACTGTTGTGGTTTGATTTGTCACAGATGAAGCTGAAAAGGAAGGAGCAGAAACACAATATTCGCTTTAGTAAGATTAATATGCAAATGATTTGATTTGAAGTGAGAATAATTCCTTTTGTTTTCAGATTGTGACGGACCTGGAGCTGGGGAGGTGGACAGAGGAGCAAAGGTGCTTTTACGGAAGATCCCCAGGGCACTTTTGGTCCTGAGCAGAGACAAACGTTTGGTTAGGTCTGGCAACGCTCATGTTCTCACAATGTAACAAACAAAACAGCACCGTTAAAAGGAGGTTTGTGAAAATGAAAGGATGATGCTGAGAGAAGTGTATTGCCTACCAAGGACAGACAGATGGACAGAGATGCAGAGAGGCCGTGAAGAGCGGAGTCCGGGAAATGAAAACTACACAAGGAGGAACCAGGCTGAAGAAGCAGAAGTTTTTGATCAGAAGAAGAAGAAGAAGAAGAAGAAGAAGACACCTTGGATCATTACGTTAGAAACATACCCGTCTCTCTCTGTGACCTCTCCTTTGTGGTGAAGGGTCAGCACGTACAGCACAGACATGGAGATGACGCTGAGGAAAAAAGAAAAGACTCATCATCAGGAGAGAAGCTCTGGGTTATATTCTCAGGTTAAAGTTACACTTTTATTGTCCTCATAGGAACATTTGTCCTCTACATTTGATCCATAGTTCAAAGCCAATCATGATCTCCACAGCTTTACCGATCTCTCAGACACAGGAAGAACATGCAAACTCTATACAGAAAGTCCAACTGGAACTGAGGGTTCCTTCTATCAGAGCATTTTACCATTGTGTTCTCAGGCAAGACACTTCCTTCATCTGCTTGTGTGTTCTCTGAGTGAAGGTGAGTGATGAGTAAATGCTTGATTAAGTTTGACATCGTCTGTGCGTGTCACCTGTGGATTAGCTGTGTGAAAGACTAGACTGTAAGACTGTGTGTCACCTGTGGATGGGCCGATCATCTGTACTAAACCACACCTCACCTGGTTCACATGCTCTCGTATGAGGTCTCTGGTTTGCTCTGGTATCAGCACAGGGATGAGCTTTCTGACTTCATGACAGTTCGTTTATTTCACTTTATTTAGTCTTTGAAAAAAGCCACACTCCTCAAAGTTCATGAGTAGATTATTTTGTCCATTATTCACCGATTACATCATGTGATTAACCGAGTCTGGACTTAACCTGGACTCACCTGAAGGCCATCACCACCACCAGGGCCAGGATGGTCCCCTGCATGAACCTTTGGCTGAAGCAGCCCTGGTCTGCAGCTGGGCTCTGTGAGGGAGAGAAACATCTCATATTTAGTTTTCATGTCACAGTCGCAGTGAGTGTTGAGTGTTGTGCAGAACAGAACAGAACCTTGGTGCCGGGTTTGGTGCTTTTCTTCCTCAGGGGGCCGCTCCCCGTCCGGCTGAAGTAACTCCCCGCTTGGCTGTGCACAAAACACAAAATCATCATTTCATTTATTCATTTATTTTGATATGAGACACTGCACATTAAAGGAGCACTGTGGAATTTTTCTGATGGAGTGTAGATGGTATGATTCTGTCTGTAATGTTCCACAGTATGGCATTATAAACATCAGATAAAAGTAAAGTTCTGTAAAGAGGAAACTCGCTCACAGAAAGAATCAAGGTTTTTCATGATATTGCAACATAGAAAAAAGTGAAAGTTAAATGCCGTACTGTGGAACATTCAAGACAGAACAGTAATATCGTCATGGAGAACAGTAATCTGATTTGAGTCCCGTGTGCGTTCAGTCTTCTCCTAACCTGGTGGTTCCTCCGCTCACGGTGCTCTTCATGCTGTCCAGGCGTCGGAGTTTGGCCAGTTTCCGGCTCCATCGCTCCAGCTCGTCGATGCGCGTCTCCAGGTTATCTGTGAGTTTACACAGCTCCTTCACGGCGCCCACGTTCTCCATGAAGATACGCTCCTGCGCCACCACACACACACCACGGAAATAAAAAACATAAGTATTTGTACTTCAGAAAACTGCTTTTCTTAAACACACATCAGTCTGAGGTTTTACCTTGTTGACGACCAGCAGATTTGGGATGGTCTCCCCATTGGCACAGACCACGTCCCCTCCCTCCTTCACTGCTTCAGGGAGGATCTTCTGGACCTCTTGAGCTATGACTCCTTCAGTGAACACAGGAGAAGATCTGGTAAGTCTCTAGAGATGAGCCGAAGAGGAGAACTGAACAGTCAGAATAAAGCTCGCAGTTTTACCCGTCTCTGCAGTGTTCTCGATCCCCACAGTCGCAGCAAACTCAGGTTTGTACTGATAATGGACCAGCCTCATCTGAGAGATCCGCTTTAAGTTATCTGTGGTGTCCACCTGCAGGGACACACACACTGACACTGAATATTTGATCTGAATATTTAAGAGGAAATGATAAAAATACTGCTGTTATGTAATATAATAATAAAGGACAATTGGATTTGAAAATAACTAGTCTGACCCAGAGATCCAGAGGCGTGTGGTACTGGTGATGTTTAAATATTTTCCACCTTATATTTCTCAGATGTTTGTGGTTTACAGTTTAAATACCTGAATTTGTGCAATATAAAAGGGCCTGCATTGTCTTATTTCTGTTCTTTGTACTAATGTTGTTTCCTCGTCACACACAGACCCTAAAGGGAAAAGGAGCTGTTCACTTGGAAACGACCACTTCATGACATCACAAGGTGGAACAGAGTGGAGCTTTGGAGATGTGGACAGACTAATAATAAAGAGTTACTCAAACATGTGTGAATGAAACAAAACACAACTCCAGCTCAGTGTGATGAGGGACATTAGAACATGAGTTCATGATGTGTGATATTGGACCTTCAAAGTACAAATTATTTGTTCCTTCTCTTTGTTCCTGCTCAGTTAGTTTATTTTTTGGAACACTACTTTGTTTTTCTACTTGAGTAATATTATTTTAAAGTATCAGTACTTTCACTTGAGTACAACCTCTGCCCACTTGACATGGCCCTGGACCATAGACCGTGTAACTGGAGCCAGAGTCGGTGGAGCTGAAGTGTGCACATGCTCACTTCCTGTTTGGCGTACAGATCCATTTATATAAAGTCTGTGCCCCGGGCGCTGCCTACCTCCTGGACGTTCTCCTTGGCGCGCAGGTCAGACGGGTGCACCAGTGACCCCATGACCTTCATGTTTCCGTGGATGACCAGCGCCTCGTCGGGCCGGTCGGTGTTGATGCCCACGCGGCCGTGATGGTACACGGAGTCTGGCACCTGCCCCCTCTGCCACAGCACCTCCGAGTCGCTCTCAAACTGACCCGGGTTTGAAGCCTACAGACCAAACACTGGGTTAAAGAGTCACTAAACACGAGTGTCACTCATCTGATGCAGAAATATGTGAATACAAATCTATTATTCTTATTTTTATAACTGTACACATGCACTGGAAATGGCCCTTTGTCGCCATGACAATTCGTAATATTAAAACAAAATGTTATATATATTTTAAATACACAAAATACAAGTGTAAAGGGATATAGAAGTACAGAACTACTACAACATGAGTTAAAACATAAACTCAGAGTGTGATTGTGCAGTAAAGTTCCTTCATATTTACACAGAAACAGGATGTTACCCTGACGATGATCCTCTCGGACACGTGAGCCGCCACCGTGAAACTCTGAGAAAGAGACTGAGCCTGCAGCGCCACCACCAGCATGAAGTACCTGCAGTACACAAGAAGTACACAGTGTAAGTACCTGCAGTACACAAGGATACAAGAAGTACACGACATGAGTACAACTCAAGCAGTAGTATTAGTAGTACTAGTAGTACTGCAGTACCTCTGGTCGGGGTTGGGTTTGCCTTTCTTCCTCATGTTGTTGGCCGTGGTCTCACTGAAGTGCAGTCGTCCCACTGTGACCTTGGTGACCTGCTCCGGGGGCAGAGTGACCCTGAGGAGAGACACAGCTCTGTTCAATAATGACCAGCATTTTAACAATAATTATATCATATCATATAAAAGGCATTAATATAATAATAACACCTCCATGTGAGACTGGTTCAGTTTTAAACTGAGGCTGCATTCACACTTAGACCACATCAAAACTTGGAATAAAAGTGGAACTAAACCTGGACTCCACCAGGCATAAATCAGGATCTTCATTGTTTTAATTAGAACCATGATAAAGTAAAAGTGAAGTACTCACTTCTACGTCTGTAACACAAACACAACTCACAGTACAGGTTTGAAGGGCCTTTTACTGCGGTCAGACTGAGACTGTTCCACACTGATGGACTGGTTCATGGCCTCCACCTGAACACCAGAAAAAAATAAAAAAAACACAAATTACATATAAATCACATTTAAATCACATGCAATACATGTAGTACCAGATAAATCCCATTTAAATCCCATATAAATCACATGTAATCCCAGATAAATCACATGTAATCCCAGATAAATCACATGTAATTCCAGATAAATCACATGTAATCACAGATAAATCACATGTAATTCCAGATAAATCACATGTAATCACAGATAAATCACATGTAATTCCAGATAAATCACATGTAATCACAGATAAATCACATGTAATCCCAGATAAATCACATTTAAATCCCATATAAATCACATGTAATCACAGATAAATCACATTTAAATCCCATATAAATCACATGTAATCCCAGATAAATCACATGTAATCCTAGATAAATCACATGTAATCACAGATAAATCACATGTAATCACAGATAAATCACATGTAATCCCAGATAATCCCAGACATGTAATACACATCGTTTCATTCACACATGTGGGGTTTGCTTCATTACACAGATGTACACTTCTTTCCTGGAGACCAGACCCCATCTTACCTGTGGCCACTGTTTGTCGAACCTACACCTATTTTAATCCAAACCCTCCCTGACCCCGGCCTCACCTTGACCCCGTTGAGTTTGAGGTAGAAGCACTCGATCGGCTGCAGCCCGTCGTGTGTCTTGATGTACTTGGCGTCTCCCAGCATGCCGACGTACACCGTCACCTGGAAGTGGTTCTTCTTCTGACAGACGAAGGCGTCGTCGGCGAGAGAGAAGTTAAAGCCTTTGTCTGCGTCCACGCGGTACGTGGGCATCGGCCTGGAGCACACGACCCGGGTTAGAACTGAACTTAAAACACACATCACACAAACACACTCCTGTCCCTCGTCACACATCACACAAACACACTCCTGCCCCTCGTCACACATCACACAAACACACTCCTGCCCCTCGTCACACATCACACAAACACACTCCTGCCCCTCGTCACACATCACACAAACACACTCCTGCCCCTCGTCACACATCACACAAACACACTCCTGTCCCTCGTCACAACATCACAACACAACACACTCCTCGTCACACATCACACACTCCTGTCCCTCGTCACACATCACACAAACACACTCCTGCCCCTCGTCACACATCACACAAACACACTCCTGCCCCTCGTCACACATCACACAAACACACTCCTGTCCCTCGTCACACATCACACAAACACACTCCTGTCCCTCGTCACACATCACACAAACACACTCACACAACACACACTCCTGTCCCTCGTCACACATCACACACAAACACACTCCTGCCCCTCGTCACACATCACACAAACACACTCCTGCCCCTCGTCACACATCACACAAACACACTCCTGCCCCTCGTCACACATCACACAAACACACTCCTGCCCCTCGTCACACATCACACAAACACACTCCTGCCCTCGTCACATCACAAACACACTCCTCGTCACATCACACAAACACACTCCTGTCCCTCGTCACACATCACACAAACACACTCCTGTCCCTCGTCACACATCACACAAACACACTCCTGCCCCTCGTCACACATCACACAAACACACTCCTGCCCTCGTCACACATCACACAAACACACACACAAACACACTCCTGCCCCTCGTCACACATCACACAAACACACTCCTGCCCCTCGTCACACATCACACAAACACACTCCTGCCCCTCGTCACACATCACACAAACACACTCCTGTCCCTCGTCACACATCACACAAACACACTCCTGTCCCTCGTCACACATCACACAAACACACTCCTGTCCCTCGTCACACATCACACAAACACACTCCTGCCCCTCGTCACACATCACACAAACACACTCCTGCCCCTCGTCACACATCACACAAACACACTCCTGCCCCTCGTCACACATCACACAAACACACTCCTGCCCCTCGTCACACATCACACAAACACACTCCTGCCCCTCGTCACACATCACACAAACACACTCCTGCCCCTCGTCACACATCACACAAACACACTCCTGTCCCTCGTCACACATCACAGCTGGAGTTGTGTTTGTTTCATTCACATGTTTGAGTAACTCTGAGTCTGTCTACAGGGGGTGTGTGGTGTTATGGTGTTGTGTGTTGTTGTGTGTGGTTGTGTGTTGTTGTGTGTTGTGTGTGTGTGTGTTGTGTGTGTTGTGTGTGTGTGTGTGTGTGTGTGTGTGTGTGTGTTGTGTGTGTGTGTGTGTGTGTTGTTGTGTGTTGTTGTGTGTTGTGTGTGTGTGTTGTTGTGTGTTGTTGTGTGTGTTGTTGTGTGTTGTTGTGTGTTGTTGTGTGTTGTTGTGTGTTGTTGTGTGTTGTTGTGTGTTGTTGTGTGTTGTTGTGTGTTGTTTGTTGTTGTTGTTGTGTGTTGTGTGTGTTGTGTGGTTGTGTGTAGTTGTGTGTTGTTGTGTTGTGTGTGTGTGTGTGTGTGTGTTGTTGTGTGTGTGTTGTGTGTTGTGTGTGTGTTGTTGTGTGTTGTGTGTTGTTGTGTGTTGTTGTGTGTTGTTGTGTGTTGTGTGTGTGTTGTGTTGTTGTGTGTTGTGTGTTGTGTGTGTTGTTGTGTGGTTGTGTGTGTTGTGTTGTTGTTGTGTGGTGTTGTGTGTCGTTGTGTGGTTGTGTGGTACAGTTGTGTGTGTTGTGTGGTTGTGCGGTGTTGTGTGTTGTTGTGTGGTACAGTTGTGTGGTACAGTTGTGTGTTGTTGTTGTGTGTTGTTGTGTGGTACAGTTGTGTGGTGTTGTGTGTTGTGTGTTGTTGTGTGGTACAGTTGTGTGGTTGTGTGTTGTTGTGTGGTGTTGTGTGTGTGTGTGTGTTGTTGTGTGGTTGTGTGGTACAGTTGTGTGTTGTTGTGTGGTACAGTTGTGTGTGTGTTGTGTGTGTTGTGTGTGTGTTGTGTGTTGTTGTGTGGTACAGTTGTGTGGTTGTGTGGTGTTGTGTGTGTGTGTGTGTTGTTGTGTGGTACAGTTGTGTGGTTGTGTGGTGTTGTGTGTTGTTGTGTGTTGTTGTGTGGTACATGTGTGTGTGTGTGTGTGTGTGGTGTTGTGTGGTGTTGTGTGTTGTTGTGTGTGTTGTGTGGTTGTGTGGTGTTGTGTGTTGTTGTGTGGTGTTGTGTGGTTGTGTGTTGTTGTGTGGTGTTGTGTGGTGTTGTGTGTTGTTGTGTGGTTGTGTGGTACAGTTGTGTGTTGTGTGTTGTTGTGTGGTACAGTTGTGTGGTTGTGTGTTGTTGTGTGGTACAGTTGTGTGGTTGTGTGTTGTTGTGTGGTACAGTTGTGTGGTTGTGTGGTGTTGTGTGTTGTGTTGTGTGGTACAGTTGTGTGGTGAGGGCAGGGCAGTGTGAGAGCTGAGTACATTCCACAGGGGTGAGCTGTGCGTGGGAGTGCGGGGCTAAAAGTGAGAGCGCACCTTGTGTTCTTCAGACGCCAAAGTCCAAAAGAACTGAACTCACACAACTGTAATCTAAACCAGGTCTAAACCAGGTCTAAACCAGGACTAAACCAGGACTAAACCAGGTCTAAACCAGGACTAAACCAGGTCTAAACCAGGACTAAACCAGGTCTAAACCAGGTCTAAACCAGGACTAAACCAGGTCTAAACCAGGTCTAAACCAGGTCTAAAACCAGGACTAAACCAGGTCTAAACCAGGTCTAAACCAGGTCTAAACCAGGTCTAAACCAGGACTAAACCAGGTCTAAACCAGGTCTAAACCAGGACTAAACCAGGTCTAAACCAGGTCTAAACCAGGACTAAACCAGGTCTAAAACCAGGTCTAAACCAGGACTAAACCAGGTCTAAACCAGGTCTAAACCAGGTCTAAACCAGGACTAAACCAGGACTAAACCAGGTCTAAACCAGGACTAAACCAGGTCTAAACCAGGACTAAACCAGGTCTAAACCAGGTCTAAACCAGGTCTAAACCAGGTCTAAACCAGGACTAAACCAGGACTAAACCAGGTCTAAACCAGGTCTAAACCAGGTCTAAACCAGGACTAAACCAGGACTAAACCAAGACTAAACCAGGACTAAACCAGGACTAAACCAGGACTAAACCTCATGTTCTGTGTTTAACTTCATTTTAAATCCTTTTTATATTTATAATTTGTGTCGCTCTGGTTCCACCGGATCTAAAGTCGGTTTGTAACAGAACCGTTCCAGGTTTAAACTGGTTAGTGGTTCTAATGTTCTAATATTCTAATGTTCTGCTGTTCTAATGTTCTAATGTTCTAATGTTCTAATGTTCTAATGTTCTAATGTTCTAATGTTCTAATGTTCTAATGTTCTGATGTTCTAATGTTCTAATGTTCTGCTGTTCTGATGTGGTTTCCTGGAGTTATGTTTAATTCATGTTTAACACTCTGTTCCACCTTGTGATGTCATCATGTGGTGATACAGAAGTGCTCCACTGTGTTTTTAAACTCCACACTTCACCTTCACTAGAATCACCTGGAACATTTCAGTCCTGGAGTTTTGATCTCGACTCAACTAAACAGAAAAGGAGCTGAGAACTTGATGACATCACAAGGTGGAGCAGAGTGTTTGGAGCTTTGGAGATGTAACAGACTCAGAGTCAGAGGTGGGACCAAGTCGTTCTTTTACGAGTCTCAAGTCTTTGACCTCAAGTCCAAGTCAAGTCCAAGTCATCTGCTTTGAGCCTCAAGTCATTTCAGGGTTAGATTAAATTACACTTTTGTAATTTATATGAATTTTAAACTAAATTGTTCTTAAAAAGTCAGGGGTTATTTATATAAGAGTTGAAGAAATGTTATTTTTCATTTGTAAACGTCTTGACAAAATCTTATTACAAATCATTACGATCAAAACAGAAAGAAAGAATTTAGATTTAAAAGTGAAATCACAGATATTTTCTCATGAAGTTTGCACTGAAATGGAACGATCATGTTCAGTGTAGCTCCTTCTGTTTTATTGTATATTTCTGTATTTTACTGTGTATTACTGTATATTACTGTAGTACTTTTGAGTATCTCAGTACTTCAGTTCCATCCAAAGTACAAACAGAAGTGGCAGCGACATGTTCCAGTTTGTTTCTGTAAAATTCAGCTTCGCATTTATCAAATGTAAAGAGAAAAGTATTTTATAAAAACATATTTTTTTTTAGCAGAGGCATCAGGTCTTCTCAAGTTGAGTCAAGTCCCAAGTCACTAACCTTCAAGTCCAAGTTGAGTCCCAAGTCCAAGTCCATTTAATCGAGTCAAGTCTCAAGTCCTAAAAATAATGCCTCAAGTCTGACTCAAGTCCAAGTCACGACTCACGAGTCCCACCTCTGCTAAGAAGAAAGAAACATGAATGAAACAAACACGACTCCAGCTCTGAGTGTGACCAGGGAACAACAGGAGAACAGGAGAACACTGGAACAGGAGAACATGACTTGAAGTTCCTGGAGTCAGTTTAGTTTCTGGTCATAGTGAAAAATACCCACAGTTCTTTGCAGTCGGCGTCGTACAGCGGGCTCCACTTGTTCTGCTGGTGCGGCTGCCACTTGATGCACTGGTAGTTCGGGTCGAGGTACGCGCTGTCCGAGTCCTGCATCAGGCCTGGAGACACACACACACACACACACGTCACCGTCACACACCACGGGCCGGACCGGGGCCCACAGACCGTGCGGGGTGAGGCCTGGCGCCGGGCACGGGGCGCGGTGCCAGGCCGGCGGGCGCAGAGAGGACAGGGCCTACCTGGTTCCTGTTTGATGATACCTGTGAGCAGATTGGAATTGAGGGTGCTGTTGGGAGAGTCCGAGTGCTTCCTCTTCTTGGCCTGATGAGATGGAATTCCACTGAGGAGAGAAACATGTTTTTATTTCAGGATTTCCTGGGACTGACGTTGGACCCGACATTGACATTTAAAAAACACATGAAGCGCCAAACAAAAACTGTTAATTTTAACTTAGTGAATTTTAGACAAGTAAGACCTTTTATGACTTTATATGCGGCATGAATGTTTTTACACTCCATGATTCTGTCTCATATCGACGACTGCAGAACCAGACGGTCACTCGCTGCTGGAACAACACTCAAACACATCGAATCACTTTTTTAAAAAGCCATAAAAATATTGGACAAGAAACCATTCTCATTTCACCACTGCACTATTTTAGACAAGTATAATTTGCTTAATTTTAATAATTTTATTGGTTTTAAATATGGATGTTTTGTCTATAAAGTTTTGCATGGACTTGCCCCTCCTCCATTACAGGATTTTATTAAAGTAAAGACTGTGAGTGGAACTAGGGCCACAGCTCAGGGGAACTGTGACGTCCACACAGACGCTCCACACTCAGACAAACTGTGTCTCAGTCAGAGGAACAACATTTTGGAACAATCTGCCACTGTCAGTAAGAGAAACTTAAACTCTTGCCACCTTCAAGTCCTACTTAAAAGAGCGGCTAAAGAAAAAACAGACTTGTGGGCACTTTTAGTTTAGATTTGTTCCTTGTTTTTGCTTTGTTTAAATTTGTGGTGTTTCCTGCCGAGGGACGACAGACGGAAATGAGCAGTTTTGCTATAATCTGGCATATTTACACTGCAGTGTTGTAGATGTTCATTAATATGCACTGTCCCTATTCAATAAATAAATAAAAATGATTTCACAGCGTTTTACAGCCCTGGATTTGTGACGCTTCAGGTCACATTGGAGGTTTTTACTGTAACGAGCAGGTGCTTCTGAAAACTCTTAAACAACACTGAGAATTTCTCTGATCTGGTCAAGGTTTTCAAACTTCTATCAGGTTCTTCATTTTGTTTTCACATTTATGATCTACATACTCGTTCTGAGACGCTTCATTCTCGTCTAGAGGTCGTTTATTTGAAGAAAACTTGTCCAGTGAAATGATCTTGCTGCATGGACACATCATTTCACTGTTTTTCAGTCATTTTTATATCTCACATTTTGGCCAAACATTTTGCAGTGAACAAAAGATAAATCTGTCATTGGTGAATTGTGTCTTTTTTCTGGTAGAGGGTCTGTGAAACGCTTTTCTCCGAGGAGATGTTGCTGCTTTGTCTGGAATGTTCCACAGTAAGGCATTAAACCTTCCTATCTCCATGGAGACCAAATCAGACCAAGTTCCAGGTCAGATCTGTGGAGAGGCGACTGTACTCACAGTCACAATGTCTGTTTGTTTGGGGGTTTTTTTTAAGCGATAAAACCTCCTGTGATTGAATAAATGTAAAGTCGAGCTGTTTAAAGTCACACTGTGGAACATTCCAGGCAGAACAGTGACGTCTCCATAGAAACAAGCAGGTGATGGAGCCTCAACCAAAAAGTTACACAGTGAACCAGTTTAGTGAGAATATTAAACAGAAATACTTTTTTACTTTTTCAGTCATAATCGTGTGATGAAAAATCAGAAAACTCTGCTCATGTTCTGTGACTCTGTCAGACACAAACCAAACAAATAAAACTCTGTTTTCATTTTTACACGAGCAGGTTTGGACTCAAAGTCTCAATGTTTTGTTTTTTTTTCTTCATGTTTTCTCCTTTCTACATTTTCTATTCAAACAGACGACATCACACAGATGAAGTACGATCTGTGGGATTGTGGGATTTTAAGAAAATAAATGTGTCGTTGTGGACGTGACACAAGCAGAAGAACCACACAGACGTGATGATCACAGAAAAAACATCGAGTCTAGAACAGCTCGTCTGCTGCTGTTGGTCTGAGGAAGTTATTGATACTTGTGCATCACGCTGGGGGGGTTCTGCATGTGTGTCTATGGCAGAACCAGATCAGAACCAGCAGTTACCACGTTTCTAGATGGTGTGAAAACAGAACATAATAATTCTGCCTCAGTTCTTTAGTTGTTTCTGGTCAGATTGTGTGAAGCTCAGGTCAGAGTCTGACTTGAGTGACAGAGCTGCAGACAGAGCAGTGCCTCCTGTTAGCGTGTGGACTCAGACTCACTCGGGCCCCTGCGGGTGGTGCATGATGTGGTGCAGCATGTGGCCCATGTCCCCGGAGCTGGTGGTGGGGCCCAGGGGGAACTGTGAGATCAGGGGCTCGGGCTTCAGGAACAGGTCCCGCTGCAGGTCCCGCTGCAGGTCCCGCTGCATGCTGGGAAAGTGCCCAGGGGGGAGGGGCGGGGGCGGGGACAGGTGGCACATGTTCTCCGGGGTCATGGTCCGGATCAGGTGAGGATCTGAAAGAAGAACAGAATGCTGGAGAATGTTCCACAGTGTGGCTTTAACTAACTCTGTCTCCATGGAGTCATTACAGAGTGTTGATGAGGAGACCAAAAGTATTCATCTGATTTAGACCTAGAATAGTCCAGATTTAGACATGGTTTAGTCCTGGTTTAGTCCTGGTTTAGACCTGGTTTAGACCTGGTTCAGTCCTGGTTTAGACCTGGTTCAGTCCTGGTTTAGACCTGGTTTAGTGAGAGAGTGACGACACAGAGTGATGTCACAGAGTGATGTCACAGAGTGATGTCACAGAGTGATGTCACAGAGTGATGTCACAGAGTGATGTCACAGAGTGATGTCACAGAGTGCAGGACTCACCGTTCACCTGTTGAGGAGAATACGGCTCTGAGCTGGAGTCTGGAGGCGACTCTGGGAGTGTCCTACAAACACCAAATACACACGTGAGTATAAAAGTACTACGACTGAGTACTACAACAGTACAGTACTGTATCAGTACTAGAAGTACTCTCACAGTACTGTACTGTATGAGTACTAGAGTACTGTATGAATACTAGAGTACTGTATAAGTACTAGAGTACTGTAAGAGTACTAGAGTACTGTATGAGTACTAGAGTACTGTAAGAGTACTAGAGTACTATAAGAGTACTGTATGAGTACTTGAGTCCTGTAAGAGTACTCGAGTACTGTAAGAGTACTGTATGAGTACTTGAGTACTGTAAGAGTACTAGAGTACTGTAAGAGTACTAGAGTACTATAAGAGTACTGTATGAGTACTTGAGTACTGTAAGAGTACTAGAGTACTGTATGAGTACTTGAGTACTGTAAGAGTAGTAGAGTACTGTAAGAGCACTGTATGAGTACTTGAGTACTGTAAGAGTACTAGAGTACTGTAAGAGTACTAGAGTACTATAAGAGTACTGTATGAGTACTTGAGTACTGTAAGAGTACTAGAGTACTGTATGAGTACTTGAGTACTGTAAGAGTACTAAAGTACTGTAAGAGCACTGTATGAGTACTTGAGTACTGTAAGAGTATTAGAGTACTGTAAGAGTACTAGAGTACTATAAGAGTACTGTAAGAGTACTAGAGTACTGTAAGAGTACTAGAGTACTGTAAGAGCACTGTATGAGTACTTGAGTACTGTAAGAGTACTAGAGTACTGTAAGAGTACTAGAGTACTATAAGAGTACTGTAAGAGTACTAGAGTACTATAAGAGTACTGTAAGAGTACTAGAGTACTGTAAGAGTACTAGAGTACTATAAGAGTACTGTAAGAGTACTAGAGTACTATAAGAGTACTGTAAGAGTACTAGAGTACTGTAAGAGCACTGTATGAGTACTTGAGTACTGTAAGAGTATTAGAGTACTGTAAGAGTACTAGAGTACTATAAGAGTACTGTAGAGTAGAGTACTAGAGTACTAGAGTACTGTAAGAGCACTGTAAGTACTTGAGTACTGTAAGAGTATAGAGTACTGTAGAGTACTAGAGTACTAGAGTACTGTAAGAGTACTAGAGTACTATAAGAGTACTGTAAGAGTACTAGAGTACTGTAAGAGTACTAGAGTACTATAAGAGTACTGTAAGAGTACTAGAGTACTGTAAGAGCACTGTATGAGTACTTGAGTACTGTAAGAGTACTAGAGTACTGTAAGAGTACTAGAGTACTATAAGAGTACTGTAAGAGTACTAGAGTACTAGTACTAGAGTACTATAAGAGTACTGTAAGAGTACTCGAGTACTGTAAGAGTACTGTATGAGTACTTGAGTACTGTAAGAGTACTAGAGTACTGTAAGAGTACTAGAGTACTGGGCCTCGTTGGTCTGAGGTTGATCTGGTTTGTGTTTTTGAGTCTCAGTTTGTTTTTTCTCTCTGAACTTTTCCGTCTGAAACGAATCGAGCCTCAAACATTTTCACCTGAACAGTCTGATTATTAAAGCTTCACTGTGTAACTTCTCTGGAGAAGAGTCTGTCACCTGCTCGTCTCCAAGGAAATACATCAGTTTAATGTCACATTGTGGAACATTTCAAGACAATAAAATGCAGTGAAACGTTCACATGAACAGTTACACACAGGCCCACAGTCAGACCAGACTCTAAAAACACAAAAAACAGATTCATTTAACTCTGAGTTTGTTTAACTCTGAGTTTGTTTAACTCTGAGTTTGTTTTACTCTGAGTTTGTTTAACTCTGAGTTTGTTTTACTCTGAGTTTGTTTACTCTGAGTTTGTTTAACTCTGAGTTTGTTTTACTCTGAGTTTGTTTAACTCTGAGTTTGTTTTACTCTGAGTTTGTTTAACTCTGAGTTTGTTTTACTCTGAGTTTAAAACTCCAATATTACACAACAAAAACACAACTCAGGTCTGTGTGTGACCAGGAAACATGGCCCCTGTGTGTGACATGGCTCTTGTGTGATGTGGCCCCTGTGTGATGTGGCCCCTGTTTGACATGGCCCCTGCGTGTGTGACGTGGCCCCTGCGTGTGTGATGTGGCCCCTGTGTGTGTGACATGGCTCCTGTGTGTGTGACATGGCCCGTGTGTGTGTGAGACGTGCCCCCTGCCTGTGTGACGTGACCCCTGTGTGATGTGGCCCCTGTTTGACATGGCCCCTGCGTGTGTGTGACATGGCCCTTGTGTGACGTGGCCCCTGTGTGACGTGGCCCCTGCGTGTGTGACATGCCCCCCTCTGCGTGTGTGACTTGCCCCTCTGCGTGTGTGACTTGCCCCTCTGTGTGTGTGACTTGCCCCCCTCTGCGTGTGTGACTTGGCCTCCTCTGCGTGTGTGACATGCCCCCCTCTGCGTGTGTGACTTGCCCCTCTGCGTGTGTGACTTGCCCCTCTGCGTGTGTTACATGACCCCCTCTGCGTGTGTGACATGCCCCCCTCTGCGTGTGTGACTTGCCCCCCTCTGCGTGTGTGACTTGCCCCCCTCTGCGTGTGTGACTTGCCCCTCTGCGTGTGTGACTTGCCCCTCTGCGTGTGTGACTTGCCCCTCTGCGTGTGTGACTCACCCCGGGGCGTAGGGGCCGCGGTGCTCAGTCTTGACGGGCGCCTGCTGCGGGCCGAGGGCGGGGCAGGGGGCGGGGCAGGGGGCGGGGCAGGGGTTGGCGGGGCAGGGGTAGTTGTGGCGGTGCGGGGGCGGGGCCTGGGCGTAGGCGGGGCAGGGGTTGGCGGGCGCGTGGCGGAGGGGCACCGGGGGGCTCACGGCCGGGCACAGCAGACCCCCAGAGGAGACGCCTGCCTGGGGAGACGGGTACTGAGCTCCGGGGCCACTGTGCACCTCAGCGAAGCAGCTGCGGAACGTCCACAACACACACACTTACTTCACACACAAACGCCTCCCATTTAAAGCTGCACTGGGGAACTTTTCTGGTGGAGGCTCCGTCATTTCTCCGTGGAGATGTTACTGTCAGTGCTTTGTCTGGAATGTTTCGCAGTGCGGCATTAAAGCTTTCCTTCTGTTTTTACGTTTTTTTTGAGCGACGAAACCTCCTGTGATTGAAATGGTGTAAAGTCGAGATGTTTAAAGTCACACTGCGAAACATTCCAGGCAGAGCAGAGACGTCTCCATAGAAACAAGCAGGTGACGGACAGACAACCAAAAAGTTACACAGTGCAGCTTTAAACTACTGTACATTTATTAACATATTCAATGAATTACATGTTGATCATTTATAATTCAGGTGCAGAGTTGATCCTGACGTGTGACTGAGACTCTGAGGTGTGATTCTAACTGGAGGCACTGCTCTGTCTGGGGTGTAACTGGAGGCACTGCTCTGTCTGGGGTGTAACTGGAGGCACTGCTCTGTCTGGGGTGTAACTGGAGGCACTGCTCTGTCTGGGGTGTAACTGGAGGCACTGCTCTGTCTGGTGTGTAACTGGAGGCACTGCTCTGTCTGGGGTGTAACTGGAGGCACTGCTCTGTCTGGGGTGTAACTGGAGGCACTGCTCTGTCTGCAGCTCTGTGACTCAGGACGCTGAACACTCGGGTCACAGGAAAATAAAAACGTGTTCTTTAAATCACTTTGGGATTTTTTTCTTGTTATCTTTTTTGACAGTGTTTGTTATTGTGTCGCCATGGCAACTCCTAAACATTGCACCACAGAGATCCACGTAGCACACCCCCAGCGTGACGTCACTGCAGTGTGAACAAACTGATGCAGAACGAACACTTCTGAGACAATTCACTCGTAATAATCTGCTGTTCTCAGTCTAAAAATATAAATAAATATAAATAAAATAAAAGCTGAGATATTTGAAACTTGAATTTTCTGCGTCTGAGTTTTTCTGCGTCTGAGCTAAAGAGCAGAACATGAAAAAAGCATCTGGAGGCACTGACATGTCTGCGCAGTCGTCCTCTTTGCTGATGTATTCTTCCAGGATGCTCGTGTCGATGTTGGTCGGCTCCAGAGAGCTGCTGATATCATGACCTGAGGAAGAGGAGGAGAGAGAGGAGGAGGAAGAGGAGGAAGAGGAGGAGGAGAGAGAGAGAGGAGAGAGAGAGGAGGAGAGAGAGGAGGAGGAGGAGAGAGAGGAGGAGAGGAGGAGAGGAGGAGGAGAGGAGGAGAGAGAGAGGGAGGAGAGAGAGGAGAGAGAGAGAGGAGGAGGAGAGAGAGGAGAGAGAGGAGAGAGGAGGAGGAGAGAGGAGAGGAGGAGAGAGAGGAGGAGGAGAGAGGAGGAGGAGAGAGGAGGAGGAGAGAGAGGAGAGGAGGAGAGAGGAGAGGAGGGAGAGAGGAGGAGAGAGGAGGAGAGAGAGGAGAGAGAGGAGGAGAGAGAGAGAGAGGAGGAGAGAGGAGGAGAGAGAGGAGAGGAGAGGAGGAGGGAGGAAGAGGAAGAGGAAGAGAGGAGAGAGGAGGAGGAGGAGGAGGAGAGAGGAGGGAGAGAGGAGGAGAGAGAGGAGGAGGAGAGGAGGAGGGAGAGAGAGAGAGAGGAGGAGAGAGAGAGGAGGAGGAGAGGAGAGAGGAGGGAGGAGAGAGGAGGAAGGAGAGAGAGGAGAGGAGAGGAGGAAGAGGAGGAGGAGGAGAGAGGAGGAGAGAGAGGAGAGAGAGGAGGAGAGAGGAGGAGGAGGAGGAGGAGAGAGGAGGAGAGAGAGGAGAGGAGAGGAGGAGAGAAGAGGAGGAGAGGAGAGAGGAGAGGAGAGAGGAGGAGGAAGAGGAGGGGGAGGAGAGAGGAGGGAGGAGAGAGAGAGGAGGAGAGAGGAGGAGAGAGAGGGGAGGAGAAGAGGAGGAGGAAGGAGGAGAGAGAGAGGAGAGGAGAGAGGAGAGAGAGAGGAGGAAGAGGAGAGGAGAGAGGAGGAGAGGAGGGAGAGAGGAGGAGAGAGGGAGGAGAGAGGAGGGAGGAGGAGAGGAGGAGAGAGAGGAGGAGAGAGAGAGAGGAGAGAGAGAGGAGGAGAGAGGAGGAGAGAGAGGAGGAGGGAGGAGAGAGGAGGAGAGAGGAGGAGGAGGGAGAGAGGAGGAGGAGAGGAGGAGGAGGAGGAGAGAGAGGGAGAGAGGAAGAGGAGGGAGAAGGAGGAGAGAGAGGAGGAAGAGGAGGAGAGGAGGAGAGAGAGAGGAGGAAGAGGAGGAAGAGAGGAGGAGAGGAGGAGAGGAGGAGGAAGAGGAGGAGAGAGGAGGAGAAGGAGAGAGAGAGAGAGAGAGGAGAGAGGAGGAGAGGAGAGAGGAGAGGAGGAGAGGAGGAGAGAGAGGAGGAAGAGGAGGAAGAGGAGGAGAGGAGGGAGAGGAGAAGAGGGGGAGGAAGAGGGAGAGAGGAGGAGAGAGGAGGAGGAAGAGGAGGAGAGAGGAGGAGAGGAGGAGAGAGAGAGAGGAGGAGGGAGAGAGGAGAGGAAGAGGAGGAAGAGGAGGAAGAGGAGGAGAGGAGGAGGAGAGAGGAGGAGAGGAGGGAAGAGGGGGAGGAAGAGGGGGAGGAGGGAGAGACAGAACATGTGGGTGAGTCAGATCCTTCAGTTCTTCTGATGTTTGGACAGTTTTAACCTGGACACAGTTACACTCGTGTCTCCTTCACTTTCCTCACACGTCCTCATCTGTTCCTCCTCTGTTCCTCTGTTCCTCCTCTGTTCCTCCTCTGTTCCTCTGTTCCTCCTCTGTTCCTCCTCTGTTCCTCTGTTCCTCCTCTGTTCCTCCTCTGTTCCTCCTCTGTTCCTCTGTTCCTCCTCTGTTCCTCTGTTCCTCCTCTGTCCTCCTCTGTTCCTCCTCTGTTCCTCTGTTCCTCTCTGTTCCTCTCTGTTCCTCTGTTCCTCCTCTGTTCCTCTGTTCCTCCTCTGTTCCTCTGTTCTGTTCCTCTGTTCCTCTGTTCCTCTGTTCCTCCTCTGTTCCTCCTCTGTTCCTCTCTCTGTTCTCTGTTCCTCCTCTGTTCCTCTGTTCCTCCTCTGCTCCTCTGTTCCTCCTCTGTTCCTCTGTTCCTCCTCTGTTCCTCCTCTGTTCCTCTGTTCCTCTCTGTTCCTCCTCTGTTCCTCTGTTCCTCTGTTCCCTCTGTTCCTCCTCTGTCCTCCTCTGCTCCTCCTCTGTTCCTCCTCTGCTCCTCTGTTCCTCCTCTGTTCCTCTGTTCCTCCTCTGCTCTGTTCCTCCTCTGTTCCTCCTTCCTCCTCTGTTCCTCCTCCTCTGCTCCTCCTCTGTTCCTCTCCTCCTCTGTTTCCTCTGCCTCTGTTCCTCTGTTCCTCCTCTGTTCCTCCTCTGCTCCTCCTCTGTTCCTCCTCTGTTCCTCCTCTGCTCCTCCTCTGCTCCTCCAGCCCTCAGTCTCACACTTTTATTTCAGTGTTTGCTCTGTGGTCTCCAGGAGCTCCTCCCATCATCTGCTCCATCAGCACCTGTGTCTCCTGAGGTTTGTGAAATGTGTTTTGGATCCAGTGAAATGAACTCGACCTTCACGTTCAGTTATTTGACGATGAAAAGACTGAAACTGGTTTTGTGTCGAGAGACAAAGTGAAATTACGGGGAAGAGAAGATTGTCAGACTGATGCTGCAGACGCTGGTCCAGAGACAAACCTCCTCTGTGCTGTTTAAACTGTTTCAACCACAGCAGCAGAACCATCAACCTCCTCAACCTCCTCAACCTCCTCAGCCCCTCAACCTCCTCAACCTCCTCAGCCCCTCAACCTCCTCAACCTCCTCAGCCTCCTCAGCTCCTCTCCTCAACCTCCTCAACCTCCTCAACCTCCTCAACCTCCTCAGCTCCTCAACCTCCTCAACCTCCTCAACCTCCTCAACCTCCTCAACCTCCTCAACCTCCTCAACTCCTCAACCTCCTCAACCACCTCAACCTCCTCAACCTCCTCAACCTCCTCAACCTCCTCAACCTCCTCAACCTCCTCAACCTCCTCAACCTCCTCAACCTCCTCAACCTCCTCAACCTCCTCAGCCCCTCAACCTCCTCAGCTCCTCAACCTCCTCAGCCTCCTCAGCCTCCTCAGCCCCTCAACCTCCTCAACCTTCTCAACCTCCTCAGCTCCTCAACCTCCTCAACCTCCTCAACCTCCTCAGCTCCTCAACCTCCTCAACCTCCTCAGCTCCTCAGCTCCTCAACCTCCTCAACCTCCTCAACCTCCTCAGCCTCCTCAACCTCCTCAACCTCCTCAACCTCCTCAGCTCCTCAACCTCCTCAGCCTCCTCAACCTCCTCAACCTCCTCAACTCTCAACCTCCTCAACCTCCTCAGCCTCCTCAGCCTCCTCAACCTCCTCAACCTTCTCAGCCTCCTCAGCCTCCTCAACCTCCTCCCTCCTCCCTCCTCAACCTCCTCAACCTCCTCAGCCTCCTCAGCTCCTCAACCTCCTCAACCTCCTCAACCTCCTCAGCTCCTCAACCTCCTCAACCTCCTCAACCTCCTCAGCCTCCTCAACCTCCTCAACCTCCTCAACCTCCTCAACCTCTCCATCCTCTTAACACTTTTATATCTTTAATCTGGAAACGTTTCACTGTCTCAGTGTTGTACCTGAACGTTCATATTCTGGTTGAACCTGAGCTGAACTCTGTGTTTCTCCTGATTCACTCTGAGCTCGTTCACTCTGGAGTCTGAACGGTTTGTGTTTCTGTTTAACCTCGTTTAATAAAGTTCCAGATTTCTTTAATGTTCCAGGTGAAATAATCACACCGAAAAACACTCGCCGCAGCGTCGCGTCGCGTCGCGTCGCAGCAGCGTCGCGTCGCGTCGCGTCGCCGCAGCGTCACCGAAACCAAACCAAACCGCGACGCAGCAGCAACAAGGATCCATCACATGAACATTTAAAAGAGTCAAAGAGCTGAGGAAGGAAGAACCTCACACACTTTGAAAATAATCATGATACTGAAAAATAATATAATAAAACTAAACAAAAAAACTATGCACTTATTCATTTTTTTGAACTATGAACGAACTTGTTCTTTTTGAAATTTGTGAACTGAATTTTGAACAAGTTGATGTAGAAAATGAACTTTTCCCACAGAGTTTTGTCTCGTGTTTCTGTTTCATGTCAGAATGTGTGAGTTTGTTCTGTTTGTGCTTCTTGGTCTCATCATCAAATGAGACGCTGTTTTCAACTGACTCACCCGATAAAATAATGAATCAATGAATAAAATAAAGGTAGTTCCGTCAGTGCTTAATCACTGTTCTGTATCACTACGCTGAGCATCACCATAGCAACAGGTAAACACACGACCGGCTGTGAGGGACGAGCTTCAGCTGAAACAGAAACGACTGAAGCTCTGAACAGACAAAAGGCTCAGATGTAAAAGTGTTTTCAGTTTGTGGGAGTCTGGAGTAAGAGGATTAAAGAACAAGGAGCAGAGTTAGTCTGGTTTAACTCTGCTCCGTGTGCTTTCATCTTTACATCAACGAGTCTTTACTCTTTTTTTATTTTTCATTCCTAAAATATAAATGACCTCACCTCAGGTCCATGAGATCTTTGACTGAATCAGCCTGGACCAGAACCACAGAGTCTCTGAGCCACAGAGTCCGAGTCCAAGTCCGAGTCCGAGTCCGAGTCCGAGTCCGAGTCCAGCACTGATGCAAAACTGTTTCTCTGTTGTTTCTGTTTTGTTGATGCCAGTTTGAGCAGAGGGCATCACAGATCACAGAGGGCATCATTTATGGGCACAGGACTCCACATGAGCATCTCTCACCCTCCTCAGAACACGGGGGACGGGTTCTATCTCTTTATAAACCCCTCGGACTCCCCCCTCTCCTCCTCTCCTCCTCTTTACCCCTCCTCTTTAAGTGCCCTACCTCCTCTCTCCTCTCCTCTCCCCCCTCTCCTCCTCTCCTCCTCCTCTTTAAGTGCCCTACCTCCTCTCCTCTCTCCTCTCCTCTCCTCCTCTCCTCCTCTTTACCCCTCCTCTTTAAGTGCCCTACCTCCTCTCTCCTCTCCTCTCCCCCCTCTCCTCCTCTTTTTTCCCTCCTCCCTCTTCCTCTCTCATTTCTCCTCCTCCCCTCCCCGTCTCCTCTCCCTCCTTTCCTCCTTTCCTCCCTTCCTTCCTCCTCCTCCTCCCTCCCCCTCCTCCTCCTCCTCCCTCCCTCCTCCCTCCCTCCCTCCCTCCCTCCCTCCCTCCTCCTCCCTCCCTCCCTCCCTCCTCCTCCTCCCCTCCCTCCCTCCTCCTCCCTCCCTCCCTCCTCCTCCTCCCTCCCCCTCCCTCCTCCTCCTCCCTCCCTCCCTCCCTCCTCCTCCTCCCTCTCTCAGATAGATTAGCTCCACACTTAGTCCGTTGGGAATGTCAGGAATTCACCGAGCGTTAGGAAATCCCTCTTTATGTTCAAATTTGATTGTTTGAATTTTAACGTCAAACTGAAGCATCAGTGAGAAAAACTCCACAAATGTGACACGCGCACAAGTGTTTCTCCTGTGTCCACACTGGTCGTCCCCCCGCAGACCTGACGCGTGAGCAGAGTGTGCAGCGTGGAGTTTGGAGTTTGGAGTTTGGAGTTTGGGTCGATGTTCTCGGAGTCGGACACAGATGGATCTCGTCTCCTCCTCACGTCAGTTAAACCCGAGAATGTGCCCCCCCCAAACCAGAGCCAGATGTGCCCCCCCCACACAGCACTAAATCAGACTGGCACCACTGATAAGAGTCTGTGCACACATGACCCCACGCACACACACCACCCGACACACACACCACCCGACACACACACGACCAGTGTTTGGGAAGTTACTTTTAAAATGTAATCCCCTACAGATTACAGATTACATAGCCCAAAAGGTAGATTGTAACGGAATCCATTAAATTACTTAAAGTGAGTAATGTAATCTGATTACTTTGGATTACTTGATTTTCTGTAGAGAAACAAAGACGAGGATATTTAACCGTATTAAAAATATTATTGATAGAAGACGAGGAGACACGTCCACACAGCAGGATTTAGTCCTGGTTTAGTCCTGGTTTAGATCTAGTTTAGACCTGGTTTAGTCCTGGTTTAGACCTGGTTTAGATCTAGTTTGGATCTAGTTTAGACCTGGTTTAGTCCTGGTTTTAGACCTGGTTTATTTTCCAGCAATGAGTGGAATTACCGAAAATAAATAAATAAATTATAAATAAATAAAAATTATGTGAAAACAGTTAAATCCCTCTGTGTAATCCATTTATTTCAACAAAGTAACTGTAATCCAATGACCACTGACTGAAACAGTAACTGTAACTGAATACAGTTACTCATCATTTGTACTCTGATTACTTAACTCCAGTACATGTAATCTGTTACTCCCCGACTCTGCACACGACCAACGCACACACACGACTGACACACACGACCCGACACACACACATGACCCGACGCACACACACAACAGACACACGACCCGACACACACACATGACCCGACGCACACACACACAACTGACACACACGACCCGACGCACACACACGACTGACACACACACATGACCCGACGCACACACACAACTGACACACACGGCCCAACGCACACACACGACTGACACACACACATGACCCGACGCACACACACAACTGACACACACGACCCGACGCACACACACGACTGACACACACACACGACCCGATGCACACACATGACTGACACACACGACCCGACACACACACACGACTGGCACACACGACCTGACGCACACACACGACTGACACACACGACCCGACGCACACACACGACTGACACACACACACGACCCGATGCACACACACACGACTGACACACACGACCCGACGACACACACACGACCCGACGCACACACACGACTGACACACACGACCCGACGCACACACACGACTGACACACACGACACCGACGCACACACACGACTGACACACACACACGACCCGACGCACACACACGACTGACACACACGACCCGACGCACACACACGACTGACACACACACACGACCCGACGCACACACACGACTGACACACACACACACGACCCGACGCACACTTAAAACTAACTCTTACTTCACAATAAACATTTTCATTGGGAATTAAGTGTTTACATGGACTTTTAAAGTGGAATACATTTTTATTCAGAATTAAATTATTTTTATTCAGAATTAAATTATTTTTATTCAGAATTAAAGCTCTCATGAAAACATGGCCAATATTGATTTAAAACAACTTCATAAAGAAACAAGTGACGACTTCGTCATCAGAAAACTGTGGTGTCCAATCGAGCTGATGTGGACCGAACCAGGACTAAACCAGGACTGAACCAGGACTGAACCAGGACTGAACCAGGACTAAACCAGGACCGAACCAGGACCGAACCAGGACCGAACCAGGACCGAACCAGGACCGAACCAGGACCGAACCAGGACCGAACCAGGACTAAACCAGGACTGAACCAGGACTGAACCAGGACTAAACCAGGACCGAACCAGGACCGAACCAGGACTGAACCAGGCTGTGGGCCTGTTCTGCACGTCACACTATATTAAGAACAAAAATATCACATGGTTCTGTGAAGTTCAAATAAACCAGAGAGAATAAAATATCAACATTAAAATAGGCACCAAATAAAGAATAAATAAAAGGTCAAATAATTTTATTGTTTTTCATTGTTTTTTTTCTTTTTTTTGTTTATTAAAATTCAAACGAGCAAATGGTCCAGACACAGAAACACTAAACTGAGGAGAGACGTGTGATTTTGTTTGTAAATGTCGGTGACCAATGAGCTCCTTCGTTTCACGTGTGTCACTGAAATAAACAAATCTGATTGGACGCTCAGGTTTTCCTGCGCTCAGACAGAGGATTTGTTCTGTATAAAAATACAAAGAGATCAGTCTGTTTTTTTTTTTCAGTGTGAGTCTGAGTGTCGCCTTAAATGACTCCCGGAAGAAAACACTGGTTTGTTCTCACACAAAAGCCGAAGTCTAAAACATATTTACACAGAAAAGTGAAGGAGCAAAGTCCAGACGAGAAGAAAAATCAACCACACCCACGATTCTGGAGGTTTTATTAAAGCAATTTCACTGAAACCTCCTTTCACCTGCAGCCGACCACAGCCTCTGACCGTCAGCAAAACACAAACCAGCAGCAGAACCACAGCCACCTCACACTCTCCGTCTCCTCCTCTTCACCACTGCACGACCCCAGAACTTCACACAACCACAACCTCCTCTTTCACTGCAAAAACCTTGGCCAAAATGTAGAATATAAACACTTAAATCTATCAGAAAATGATGTAATGATGTCTCTCTGGCAGCAGGAGACTATGGACCAGTGGACTCACTCTGTCACTGCATCCAACAGATCAGTGTGTGGAGGCAAAACAACTTTCTCCAGCTAAACTCTGATAAGACTGAAGTCATAGTGTTTGGTCCACAGAAACAAAGGGACAGTGTCAGCATCACCTCCAGTCTCTCTCTCTAAAACCTTCAAATCAGGCAAGAAATCTAGGGGTAATAATGGACTCAGACTTGAACTTTAACAGTCACATAAAATCAATAACATCTGCAGCCTTTTACCATCTAAAAAACATAGCAAAAATCAAAGGTTTACTGTCTAAATCAGACTTGGAGAGACTTATCCATGCATTTGTCTCCAGTAGGTGAGATACTGTAATGTTCTGCTCAC